ACAAAACAATATCAACCGAGGTGTTACATCACTGCCCTTGACAAAACAATATCCTCTGAGGCGTTACATCACTACCCGTTACAAGACAATGTCGTTCAAGATGTTGCATCACTACCCTTGTCAAAATAATATCCACTGAGACGTTACACCACTACCCTTGACAAGACAATGTTAACAGAGGCGTTATATCACTACTCTTGACAAGACAAGGTTAACCGAGGCGTTATATCACTTGTCTCGGGTAAACATTTCGTTCTATCATCTTCAATGAGTGGTGATATTTATAATGACACAGTGTTTTGAAAAAAAAACTAATATAATTGTTTTATTCTATTCCATAAAACCGTCTAGGATACGAGTACAAATAACAACAAGGGAAATCAAAATTTTTGGAAGGCAGTCCCTGGCCGTACCTAGCCACACAAGTAACAATTTCGTTAACATGATAAAATAATATCAACACTAAAAATTACACTTAAAATTTGAAAATATTACAAAATGTAGAAATTGAAAAACACTAGCCACTAGAATATTCCGTTTCCTTCTATCATTAAAATGAGCACACAGTTAATGCATGAACCGTCATCAATTCATGTAAATTGTAATGTCATATGATTTGGTAAATGTCAAAGCTAATTTATAAACTATTTATAGTTTAAAGATAACGGTATTTGTATAGATCATACATGTATGTTTCAAATAGTTTTATTAGATAAATGTTACCTGAATGTTTTTTTTTAACTCCAGGGTTAGATGAACCGTTTATGTAAACGTTAAGGACACTGCCTGTAATTCGTGGGGCATAAGAACATTATTGAGAATCTTCTCCTTGCAAGTGGCCAAAGTAGATATTTAATTTCATTACATAAACAAAGGCCTCATTTATTTTAGGTATCAAATCTATCTCAAACGGTATGAAGACGCTTTAGAGGCAATTGCCCTTAAGATATTCAACAATATCTATTACGGAGCGAGCTCTCAGCAAATGCTCTTTTACAGCATACGTATTGCGCTAACTATATGACAAACAAGAGTATGTTAACGTGACATTATGCCCATTCAAGGGTAGATATAGAGTGAACAGGCAAAAGCCAAAATAAGTTAACATTTTCTTATAATTCCTTCCAATTTTATAATTTACTTCACATAAATGATAAATAACTCACTCGAAGATGTGTGGAATTATCCGTCGGAATATGTAACTTTCAATTTATAACAAGAGTGGGCAGTCTTTTTTATTTATTTAAGTAGATTTATTTTTACCCTAAACATTTTCAAAAATCATGTGTTGGTCAATCACCATTTCAACGACCAGTTTATTGAAATATATAGTCAATTTAAGTCAATTTGACAATTACAAAATGAGTATAATTTCACTTTGATTAAATGAACCCTTAAAAGAACTTCGTTGAGGTGTTTTGGCATCACGGAGCTAGAGATAATGTTTCGAGATTAATATCACATTTCTATACAAAGAAATTGTGTGATTATTCGCTCACCCCTTTTATCGTACTTATCGAAAGCAAAAACCAGGTGGAGAATAGCACAAACATAAAATATTATTTCTGATAAAAGTTCTTTATTATCCGTGTATATAACTTTCCGTTTAAACTGCACCAGTAGATCTATTTTAAATGTTTTGGGCTTTTATACCTCACTGTAATCCCTTTAACATCCACTTCTATTAATGTTTGTTAAAGGGACTACACTGAGGTCCAAAAGCTTAAACATATATGCATGTAGTTTACTTTTAGAATGACCAGACGAAAACATTTAGGAATATACTGCCAATAAATGGATTTAGTTTTCAATTTATTTGAGAGTATATTTTGAGTGAAAATCGTGGCAACGCTGTTGTTCCATTTTGAGTCAATTGTCACTATCAGAATAATTAACAAACTGCAAATAAAGTAAACAGTCAATATATATCATTTGCCAATTCCGTGAAACACTGAGTCGGCAAATGATATAATATCTTAAACACAAGTATTGGTCAAGACCAAGTATCCTTAATTAATTTTCGGATTATTTGTTAACATTAACGCAATGTAGAATATAACGTTAATGTATCTTTTCATAAACCAAGGCACATAGGAAATGAGCTGTCTGTTTGGTTTAACTACATTACATTGTGAGGAAATAACGATAAATCCAAAGGCGCTTGTCACATAATCAAATATTTTACATAATCGGTCTATATATGTATATAAAGATATAATGCCCCGAACGAAACAAAAACATCATGCGGAACAAACAAGAACACTGCTGCAATAAAATACCAGATCACGGTTAGCTCTTTCTGGTCGCCATCTGAAAGGATCAATCCAAGCGTTAAAGCTTTTTATTTCATTAAAATTCTTCAAATAGCAAAGAAATGAGTAAAAGTTTCGCAAAATGCCAATATTTTCAATCCATGTCGTTTTCGACGTCCAATCTATTCATGTATACAAACACGATTTTTGGTCGATTTCTACGAAATAAATAGAAAACATCTAAAATTTCCTCATAAAATTCATAAACAAACTCTTTTTCTATCAATCTGCGAAGTCTAAATTAATCTAGAGCCCTCTTTGTACGCAAATATTTAAAAAATATTGGTTGTAGAAGCGGAGGTCAAGTAAAGTGCGCCATTTTGAATTTGAAGTGACAGGTAAATGAAGCAAAGAAATAGTATTATACGATTGGTCAATAGTATTCCGGTGATTATCTTAACAGATCAAATCCTTATATAATATTCAGAGCGGAACAATATATACATGTGCTATACATGGCGATAAAATACTGTCACAAGCGAGATCCTTGTGTATTTTTTAATGAATTACGTACGAAGAGTTCATTTGATCAGTGAAGACTTCGCAGATCGATAGGGAAAGAGTTTGTTTATGGAACGTACGTGGAAATTCTAGCCGTTTTTTTGTTTTTTTCGTAAAAATCGATCAGAAATCGTGTTTGTATACATGAATGGACTGGACGTCGAAAACGACATGAATTGAAAATAATGGCATTTTGCGAAACTTTTCCCAATTTCTTTGCTATTTGAGGGATTTTAATGAAATAGAAAGCGTTGGCACTTGGATTGATCCTTTCAGATGGCGACCAGAAAGAGATAACCGTTATCTGGTCTATTATTGCAGCAGTGTTCTTGTTTGTTCCGCATGATGTTATTGTTTCGTTGGGGGCCTTATATCTTTATATACATATATAGACCAATTATGTAAATTTTTTTATTATGTGACTAGCGCCTGTGGATAAATCTAAATCGTTGTGAATAATGCTAGTTGTCACATCAGCCTTACTTATCGTTTGTTCTTTGAGATATATTTTTTCGTACCAGTTAAAATACTAGTTTAAGCACCAACATCAATGATTTGCTTTTATTGACAAAATGTGTGCATCTGTCTGACTTATTGCAAGAGATATGTTGAATTGTGGTAAAACTGGCGGACGTGTTTTCAATTTTGGATTTATTTTGAAATAGTTTTGGATTTAAATTCAATACTATGGACGTCATTTTTAGCACATTTTTCGCAAAATCAACTTTGACATGCAAGAGGCCAATTTAAATCAAAACGAAATTTTGAACTGTAAAATCTCAAAGGAAGAACTAATAAAAATTATTGATATAACTAATGATTTAAAGGCAGCATTTCCTCAAGAGTTCATCTATAATGAATACCTTTAAAGCACAAAAGAGTTGATGGTTCCCTTTTTGTGCGATTTTTTAAATAAAATTTTTGATTCGGGAATACTACCTGATTGTTGCCTAATCGGCACTATCGCCCCGTTATATAAAAAGAAAGGTTCATCACATGACTCCATGAATTATAGGCCAATAACTTTACTTAGTTGATAAGGTAAATTTTTAATGGCGGTATTAAATGAAAGAATAACCAGCAATAACATTTTAAACGAGAACCAAGCCGGATTTAGGCAAAAGTATTCAACCACCGATCATGTGTTCATCTTAATATTTCTCATTGATAAACTTAAACAAAAAAGAAAAAAAAACTGTTTTGTTCATTTATTGATTTTTCAGCCACTTTTGATAAAATATGGCGTATAGGCCTCTGGGGAAAATTACTTAAAACGGACATTAATGGCAAGCTATTACAAATAATATAATTATAATATGTACCAAGACATTAAATCTTGTGATTCTATTAACAATACTATATCTCCATTTTGCAAGAGTTACTGTGTCGTCCGTCAATGGGAAAATTTGTCCCCAATTTTATTTTCTATATACCATAATGACTTAAAAGAGCATTTGTCTCGCAATAATCAAGGCATTAATATTGAAAACATTGAGGACAATGTGCTTACATACTTAAAATTATTTGTACCAATTATATGCCGACGACACTGTCATTATAAGCGAAAACGAACCTGTTTTTCAAAATTTACTTAATGATTTTAATCAGTATTGTTTAGAATGGATATGACCGTATTTCTAAAACTAAGATTATTGTGTTTGGAACTAATAACCCAGAAAACTTTAAATTTCATCTAGGAGGTTTAAATCTTGAAATAGTTAAAGATAGTAAGTATTTAGGTATTTTTTCCTTCATCGGGTAGTTTTCTAAATGCTAATCAGTCATATTGTTACTATTGTGACGTGGCTTCTAATAAAAGTGATTGTTGTTATATTTTCTTTTCCGCTTGTTTAAATGATCTATTTATATAGCAAATCAACTATGCAATACAGTACACTGCTAATTATGCAATGTTAACTAAATTAAAGCATAACATAATACAAAAATGAAAAATGTACAAATGAAACGAAAAGGAGCTGTCAAAATAAAACAAAATGTACTGTCAATCATGTTAAGAATTTGCAAATATATTTTATTTAATAGAATTGAAATAAAGATGGGGTTATATGAAGATCTTCCAGGCTTCTTATCTTTTTTGAAGACAGAAACGGAGAAAAGCATGAACAGTCATTTACCTAAATCTGAATTAAAGCAATATTATGGCACATTTACAGTTTTACAAACACATTATTAAGATTAATATTTATTGCTTCGTTTAACTTCGATATAGCAAGCAAATGTTAGGATGATATATACATGTTTAATACAATGATTTCACAAGTCAGTACTTTATCATACCCACAACTGTAAATTATACATAATTATATTAAATGTCATTGTGATTTCACTTCGTGCTTGAAACAAACAGTCTTTTGAATATTTATATTAACATGCGTTCAAAATTGCATATATATTTGAAACAAAACACAATAACATGGTCAATTTATTGTGTTAAGATCTTTTTTGCAACATTCTAAATGTATCTGTGAATAGAATAACTTGTTTATCAGCCTTATGCATTTGTATCATTTGCTAAATTTCCCCCATCATAACAAAAGTTAACCAGAAAATAATATTTATTTTCGAAATTAAATAATCAGTTATGTTAATCTCATATATCAACCAATTGCTATTAAATTTTATTTGTTAAAAATACAACAACAATATTATACATATTTGTATATCAGTCAACATTGTATAAAAAATGAGAATAATCAGCAATAATTAATATATCCACAATACAAGTAACTTGTTATATTTAAGAAAAATAAGTGAAAACTCCGTTAGTTAGCCGGTTAACATAACTTTATTCTTAACACTGTGCACATCAGACAAAGCTTCTAAGCACTTTGAATTCTTGGAGTCTATGAAGATGGTCACCCTCGGCCACGTCTGTGAAAATGAAAAATAAAATCAATCAATTTTGGGTTTTAATCGGGAACAAGTTTAAAGTTTTTTTTCCCATATACATATACGGTAAATAAATCATTGCCTTATCCGTGAAAGTTTTATATACATATACGGTAAATAAATCATTGTATTATCCGCGATAGTTTTATATACATATACGGTAAATAAATCAGTGCCCTATTCGCGATAGTTTTAACTAACTACAGTGTAACTTCCGAAAACCGAACACCCATGGGACTTGTCAAAAAGTTCGGATTTCAGAGGTTTCCGGAATTCAGAGGTTTATGAAAATGCGGACAAGACTAAGCCACTTAATATCACTAAATGTCAAGGAAGAAGTGGCCTTTACTGTAATATCATATATAATAGTCTTTTAATCAAGATAAAGATGTGAATGAAAAGAATACATTTTTATCTTACTTGCAAATGCTTCGGAATTTCTATCAGTTTGTAGAAATGTTGTAAATTGCATAAACTTACATATCGTCCGATGCTAGTTAACTAATTATTACATCAAATGCTATAAAATCCCTAAAGACTTTTGATGCATACATTGTCCAATAAATTGTCATTTAATCCGCTAATAAACACTTCAAATTAACTGACCGCCGTAAATTACTTTGATTAACCGCATCACTTCAAACATACAATTTCACAGTTTGTGATTTTAACGAGTGTCAAATTACACGGTCACCGCTAATAAATAAACAATCGATAGGGAGATTAAATCTTCCTGCAGGGTTTACAATGTATTTCACACCTTTGGATATTTCCGGTTTTTGGAGGTAAAATTGCATTGACTTGACTCTAATTTTTCGAAAATATCGTCCGGAATTCAGAATTTAGAAGTTCCGGAATTCAGAAGTATTATATTAATAGAAAAATAGAAGGGAAAAAATCGGGACCGAAAAAATTGTTCGGTATTTAGAAGTTTCCGGATTTCAGAAGTTCCGGAATTCGGAAGTTACACTGTATAATGAAGCAAGATGGTCATCCAGAGATAATTTGTATACATTTAATAAAAATCAATATTTACAGTCTGGGACAATAAAACAGCAATGTTTTTTCACTCACTTGGACAATATAAGTAGGAAAGTATAGTATGTGTAAAAATCATTCTACCAGTATTTTAGAAAACGACATTCATTTATGTCATATACATGCATATCCATTATTTTGATACATGTATATAATATATATACAATATTCATGAATAAAGAGCGGTCCATCGTGTAATTGACCTCTGTATGGCTTTTTTTACGTTTCATTAAATACCTTTCAAGCTTACGAAAAATGAAAACATAATATGAGCAAGACTTTCAACTTTTGTATTATTCTAACATTAGTTAAAAGAACAAGATAATATTAAAAGGAGATATTTTTTGCTAAATGTTATGCAAAATATATACACACAATTTTCTTTAGCTTTCGCTTTCACTGTCACTGTCGTTTTCATTATCGTTCTCACTATCACTGTCGTTGTCACTACCGCTGCCACTGCCACTGTTGCTATCACTGTTGTTGTCACTGCTGCTGTCACGCTTGCGAGACCCCTTTCTCTGGTGTCAAAAAATGATTAAAAACATTTAATACTTTTAATCCCGCTTAAATTCATATCGAAGAAATTGTGGATTGGTTTGCACCTTAACGTCGTACGTGCGCATGTAAACATTGTGTGGATTATAAAAATAGATTAAATAAGATATTAAAATTAATACATTAAATAAGCAGGGGCGTACGTTGTCACCGACGCTCTGGTCCGTGTTTGCAAATGACCTCATTCACGAAATTAATAGTCTTGGGCTTGGAATTAACGTTGGTTCTATGATGGTATCTACACTGTTCTACGCGGATGACATAGCGCTGATCTCAGACTCAGAAATAAATTTGCATCCTATTTGCTTTTGTATAGTGCCACCAAATGCTGTTTCCAGTGTTATAACAGTAGTAAATTGGCAAGAGGCTAATTGCAACACATTCAATTCAATGTTTATTTGGCTTTAAACGTGAGTTGCCCTAACTGGGATCTAAAACTCCAGACCTAACGCTTTCTAAAAGAGCGTGTAACCCCTCGACCGCCGGGAAGTTATTAATAATGAAGAAAACCTCATTATTTTAAATTAAGCTATGTAATCCTCATTAATTTCGGGATATTCTGGTCACGGTAAACCTTTTGTTAAACACTGATGTAAATAATCATGTATACATGTAAAGAATTACACAATATTAGAAATCTTCGACCAATCGGGAGCTATGTTTTTTTCCCCGGGAAGGCTTGAAGTCCCGGGAAGTCCCCGTTCATTGGACGCCGCCTTTCCTTGTTGATCTTGTTTATCATATTTAAAAAATTAATGCGCCCGTTATTTGACAATCTTTACGCAGTAATCTCCCCTTAATTTATCGGCTTTAATGTACTTCTAGAGGGAAGAAACTGCTTCGAGGAGCTCGGACGACTTTCGGTTTTTGCAAATAAGCATATTAGGGTCTGAAATTTCGCTACCATTATTTGTTTGACCCAAACGAATAAAAAACCCTAAAAGTTGCAACGTCTCTCAAATCAAAAATTCCAAGTAGCATATCTGAGATGAACGACGAAACAACATTTCACAGCTGCTACACACCACTTAACACCTGTTGTTTGTGGAAATAAAATGATGTTGTAAACCCCTTACCATAGCATGTCGTCTGTTTTTACGGTCTCTTTGTCCAGAAGACTTCATGTCATACCGATCCTGAAATATTCCATCACATCATATCTATTGTTAATTGTTAATCGTAATAAGAGCAAACCTAACACTAAATTTACAGATATAATATATATAAAATATGTCAACTTTTATGAAGGTGTATCGTTATCTATTGTAATTAAGTCAATAAATATTTATAAAGTATTTATAGTATTTCTATTTCAACCTTTCAAAATAATCTCCTCCTATAGAAATACAAAACTCAATCGTTTAATACGATTTTGCAAGTACTTCAACATAGTCCCTCAAGAATCACCATTCAATAGTTGAAAAAATGGCCAAAAAATGCAGCAAAATTATTGTTTAATCTTGGTAGATTTGGAAGTTTCATTGGCACAAAGTTGTCGATCTCGCAACTTTAATATTTTTATGCAACCGCACCATTTGCGAAGCGGTGACATATAGCGATTCACCAGTGTGTGTGTGTGTGTTTGCGTGTGTGTGTGCGTGCGTGCGTGCTTGAGTGTGTGTGTGCGTGTGTTTGATCGTGTGTTCTATAGATTATATAGTGAAAAAATCTTCTTTTGAAAAACCACTAGTCGAATTTCAACCAAACAGGATTGATCCTTGGGTGAAGGGCTTCCAAAGTTGTTCAAAGAATTTCATTCCATGCAGAAATCTGGTTTTATAATAAGCAACTATAAGGATAATTTTTAAAAAATCATCTTGTAAAGACCAAAAGGCCTTGAGCTTAGATATGTTGCATTGTCTGGTAGACCTCTGGTCAAAATCGCCCCCGCCCGGTGGTCATTGATTTTCACTTTATGTACAAATAGCAAAAACTTAAAATACATTCTTGTCTGCAGGTACAAGACTTAAAGGTATGATATTTGGTATGTGTTATTGCCTATAGGTATTCTACTAAAGTTGTTCAAATTTTCCTATAGTGACAAAATCAACCCCGCCTGGGGCTCATGTGTCATATAAGGTTTTCCTTGTATGTATATAGTAAAGACTTCTTCTAGCAATTGACACATGCTAGAGGTTAGATATTTTGCATGAAACATTGTGTAGTGCACCTCTACGAAGATTGTTCAAATTATAGCCCTGGGGTCAAAATTGGCCCGCCCCGGGGGTCATTGATTTTCAATATGTACATATAGTAAACAAGAAAATTTATTGTCTGAAGGTTCAAGGCTTAGAGCTTTAATATTTGTTACACGATATCATCTATAGTAAATTTGTTTTAATTATGCCCTTTACTTTAAAATTGCCCAATTGAATTGACAAAGGCTAGAGGTTAAATATTTGGCATGAGAAGTGAACCTCTACCAAGATTGTTCAAATTATAGCCCAGGGGTTAATATTGGCTCCGCCCGGGCGTCATTGGTTTTCATTATGTACATATAGTAAAAAATGAATAAAAAGAATTTGACTGAAGGTACTTGGCATAGAGCTTTGATGTTTAGACTTGATGTATTCCTACTCTGATCTTTTATTTGAATAACAATAGATTTAACCACTAATCTGATATTAAGAATTAGATAGGTCAGGGATCTATGCATTATGACAATCTTCAAATGTATAGAAACCAAATAAATATGTTCCTACACTACTATTTAAAGTTGTATTAATGCTGTGGCATAGCTTTTTTCACAAATGCAATCTTGTTTAATATTTGTTTATCCTGAATGAATATCGACAGCTCAATATCTATTGCACGTAAAGATATGAAAATATGTCTTGTTTTAAAAAAAGTTGACCATATCGGGAAATC